AAATATAAAAGAAAGAAAAGTATAATATGAAAAATCTATGTAATCGACCTCTGTTGTGCAATTGAAAAAACGGGGAGACAACTTTTTTTGCTAATTTTCCTGATGCTCAGAATTCAGATCTTGGTTATCATGATTTGAAATTGTTAATAATAAATTGGTAAACTATACTAGCGCAGTAAGAATGTCAACATTTTACTATCGATACGAAAAATCAAATGTTTGTAAAAATTATAAAATAACCAATGAAGCTTATTTTCTTTCTTAAGTAAATTCATTTAACCGAAAACATTTATTTCACTCACTTTTAAGTTCCTATATGCCATTTATAAAGAAAAGAAACTAAAATAGTAATTTACATTAAATGTTTTAAAAAACTAACAGTAAATAACTTTTACATTTTTACATACTTACCGGTGCCGCTGGGAGTCCATAAGGGTTTTCACTATACGTGGACCAAATACTTGTTCTATTAATCAACCGACCGTGCCCATATCCCATTTGGTAATGGGCACCAAACACACCACTGCTTCAATACCTCGTCTGATAATGAGCGTAATCAAACAATCCCCAACCCCTTCCGGTATGAGATTTTTCAGCCCCGTCCGACTGAGAGTAACATCTACGAAAAAGTTTACTCTTTGTACTAGGCCTGTCCACCTTTTCTCAGGACACCCGATAAGTCGCTTTAATATTCATAACGTTACATACACATACAAGTTCCTATTATCATATAGCCACTAATGCGTACAATAATATCACTTCATAATCATATAAAAATAGAACGATCATTTAATAAGCGGTATAAATTAAGACCTAATGATTTACAAAAATGTAATTAAGATATTTGTTTCAAACTAAATTAACGGATAAAGATGAAAACGTTTGAGTAACTAAATAAACAAGAAAAAAAACTTAAAATTAATGAACTAAAGTACACGAAATAACAGGAGACAAGTAGAGCAATATAATAATAAATAGACAACACAGATAAATTAGGGATAATTATACACTGATCAGTTACTAGCTCCATCAGTGATCTATATTTAGTTAATCAAGGAGTCGCCAATTTTTAAAATTTTATGTTTTTTGTTTATTACACTTTAATTAAATCCTAACAGTAGAAAAGATGAGTGATTCTTACCTCAGGTCGGTGTCCGGAATACCATTTTTTTTCTATGCTTTTTGGTGGTTCCTTATTATCAGATTTCCTGAATTTTTCTGTGAAAACTAAAATATATGTCAAATATCATGAAAATACACGAAAAATTACCAAAAAAGAGTCAAAATTCTCCCGGTGGCTAATTTAAGGTTCCGACACGACAGAACCGTCGTGCTTTGGTGTTGGTTCCATTGCCCATGACGGCTTCTCCTCTTAGTCAAACCGGTTTCGACCGATTCTAGGTGAAAACCTACGAAATTCGAGATTAGGTGGCTTCTATTGGTGAAAAAAGAAGGAGAACCAGAACTTACCAGTGGTTTTTGTAACGACTCCGAAAATATCCAAAGGAAATCAATGATAATTAAAGTACGAAAGTGAAATAAATGTTCAGAGTTTACATTCCTTACACAATAACTTAAAATACCAATTAGTGTTACAAAATTCACCCTTTTGAAAGAAATACAAAGAAATAAAAAAATAAACGTAAAATAAAGAAAACTAGCATTCTACTCGCAATCCTCTTGCGGATCGGGTTCATGATCCTAGTCCTCTTGATCTGAAATGGTTAAATAAGAGATGAACTGCACTAGCTCAGTAAGAATATCATACTATATCACCGACACATAAATGAATGTTGGTAGAAAAAAATTAAAAAATAATTCATAGAGTACTAAATTAAGTAAATTCATTTATTAATAATAAAACTATTTACCGTAGTGAGATTTATAGAAAACAACCTATGAAAAACAATAACATTATCTATATCATTATTCCGTATATAATTGGCAACATAGCATATACTATACTTTCATATTCAAACCATCAAAACAATAATTGCCCATTTTTCCACCAGTTTGCTAGTATTCATGGGGGTTCATAAGGATGTCTCTGCTATGCGTGAACCTTTTCCTTTAATATTCTCAATTACGGGTCGTCCACGTATCCTGTCCGGTATGAGTACCAAATTTCTAAACCTTAATACCTCATTCAGTATGAGGATGAAGCGGGCCGTTCCCATACCCCGCCCGTATGAGTGCAAATTTACCAAATCTCCATACCCTATCCAGTATGAGACAACGTTTACGGTAGGGTTCCTTATGTACTCGGTCCGTCTACCATCTCTTAGGATATCCATTAAGGCTGTCATTTAATTCATTCACTTAATCACACAAATTTTTCGTTTACCTTTAATCTTTATTTTTTCAATTCAACCGTAACACACAAAATAATAATACATGCATTGAAAGCTATAAAACCAATCAATAAGGCACTATCATGCATTTAAACTGTAAAAACAATCAACATAATAACAGTAGATAATTTCTGGTTCTGTCTCCATTAACAATCCGTAATTAATTATGAACATTATCTAAATTATATAAAATACCGTATTTATTGTTAATTAGACTTCAATTCTATAACAGAAAATAAGGTGAGAGATTCTTACTCAATTTGATGCTCGAAAAACTAAACTGTTGACTACGCCCATTAGCGGTCCCCGAATTCTCTAAATTTTTCTTCGAGAATTAAAACGTGCTATAAGTACCTACAATTTTTCCAAACAAACCCAAAATCAGTCTCAAAGCCCATTTTCGCCAATTTTAAAATTCCGGCACGGCGGCTCTGCCATACTCTGACGACGGCGCTACCGCTTGCAGCGGCAGTCCGCCTCGGGTCGACTATTTTTGACCGACCGATTTCACATCAATCTTTGTGAGAAAACATGTTAAGGGGCCTCGGTTAGTCGAAAAAACACAAAAAATTGAGACTCACCAGTGGCGGAGCTCTCCGATGCGACGGCTCATCCAGCTCATGTTGCGATTGGATGTTTTTCTCCGATCAACCTGTAGAGAAAGAAACGGTGATCACAATGGTGAAAAAATTTTGCCGAACGAAAATCGAAAATGGCCTCATCGGAGGCGTTTTGTGAAATTTTCGGTAGCCGCGCCGCTAGGTTTCGCCCGCGATTTTCGGCCAATTGGCCGGTCCTTTTGCTCTGATTTGGCCATGGAGGTGTTTAAAATTGAATTCTGAGCAAAAGGAGAAATTTTTACCTCTTTTTGCAATCGAAAGTAGCTTTGGCATGGCAGCGGGTGGCGGCGGCTCTCCTTTCTGGTGGCTGGGTCTTCTTCTCTGACGAGGGCGATTGGCAGCTAGGATTAGGGTTTGGTGTGAAGAGGGTTATTTATACTCGTTTGCTTATGATCTGGACCGTCCATCGCGCTTGATCTGGACCGTTCGACCACGATTAAATAAAAAATGAATCTGAACCGTTCATCGCGATCCAATCTGGACCGTTCATCGCGATCTAATCTGAGTCATTCGTGCATGCGGGAAGAGATCTGCACCGTTAGATCATGGACATGTGGATCGCCCGCGTGGCCCCCGTGTGGCACCGTGTCAACGTCCGCTGCCACGCGACGCGTTCTGGTTCATTGGAACTGCTAACGGGGCATCCTTCGTGGTAAAACTTTTCTAAATTGCATTCTGACCTCCGATTTTCGATTTTTTTTAAAAAAATACTCTTATAACCCAAATTTTCATCATTTTTTCCCAAAATTATTTTCAATTTCACCCCCACTAAATTTACTTTATTTTTGCATTAATTAAAATTAAAAAATCAAAAATTTATATTTATAATTAATTTAATTTACAATTAAATTAATTTGGGCATTATAGTTTTGGTTTTCTAATGCAGCAACTTTGCTGCTTCTTCCTTGCAGTCGCATCCTTTCTTTGGTTGCCCTATACCGAAACGTGTTAGATAGCCTAGGGTCAAGAAATGCAAGAAAACAGGAAAAGGATTCGGGCTCACCGGATGAGTTTTTCGATTTTGGGTGCAGCAGCTCCTCCGAGTTCCACCCTCTGTTTCTGGCTTCCTTTTGGTTTTCCGACATCGATAAGGGTTTGGGGTAGCTTAGAATAAAAAAATGGAACGAACGGGAGAAAAAAATTCATTTACTGGTGTCAGTTTGGGTCTCCAATGTGGTGGTGACGGTGGTCGACTTCTCTTTCAGCTGCCCTTCTTTTTCTTCTCCATCGAACTGGTTGCGGCTAGGGTTAGGGTTTCGGTGGAATAGGAGTTTAAATACTTCTATTCGCTCGATCCTGACCATCCTTTTGGGTCCACGTGGGTCAATCTCCACGGTCGGATCTGGCCTATTTAGGAAGCAAATCAGAGCTGTTCGATTGAAGGCACGTGAACCATTCGATTGCACCTGATAGGAAAACGGATATGGGTTGTTCGTATGCGCAAGAGTAAATCCAGATCGTTGGATCGATTGACACGTGGATTGCCCGCGTGACCTCCCGTGTGTGATACATATCAGCGTGTCTGTCGCGCGGCGCTCAACGATTGACCATGCTACTGATGTGATCGTCCCACGTGGGTCACTTTTCATTTTTATTCTTTTGCCCAAATTTTTAAATTTTTATTTCAAATAAATTCTTTTTTATTTTCAGTTTAATCCATCCATTTTAAAATTATTTTTAAATACATTTAAAATGTATATTTCTTTAAAAAAATTAAAACAAATTTTTTTAAAATTTATTATTAATATAAATTTAGTCATTCCCAACCTAAATCTTGAAGTGTTACAGTGTGTATACATATTTATTGTGGTATTCTAAAATTAGGGTTTGGTCAAAAGCTTAATTTTGTTTGAATATCCCAAAAAAAATAATAATTAAGAGCATTAATGCTGCATTTACACAATATATACGTGTATGTATTATTGCATAATTATAATTTTAATGTTAAAGGAAATAAAATTTAAAGAAAAAAGAATTAAATTGGGTGGCAATTTCGAAATTCTAATAATCAAAAGAGCTACTTTGAAATATATCAATGAGGCAAAATAACAGAATTGAAGGCTATAGTTAACAGTTGATGAAAAGGATAAAGACTCTTTTGAAATGGAGCTCACCCTGCAACCTCTGTCATCTCCCTCCTTCTCTACCAGTAAGTTAACCCACCAACCCCTTCAACATTTATGAGAAATCTGAAATTACCCATCAACAGTAGGGCCCATTACAAAATGGGTCATCTTCGATTTGATGAATTCTTGGTTTTTTTCCTCCATGTTTGCATCTGTCAGGTTTCTAGGTTTCGATATATAAATTTAGTTGATTGCAAGTGGAAAAAAGGGTTTTGAGAGAAATCTGAATTTACTCATTAATGGTTAGGATCCATTACGAAATTGGTCATGTTGGATTTCTTGAGTTGTTGGATTTTCTCCATATCTGCATGCTTTATATCTCGAGGGTTTTCATAGAACAACCATATGTTATTCGTTACCCTGAATTGGGTAAGCAATTGAGCTTTTTAAAGTCCCAAAGGTTTTACTTTGAGAAAGAAAACCTACCCATATGCTTTTCATTATTATCTTAATTACATGTGGTTGCTTGTTGTTGAGATGCCAAGCTAGTTATAGTTGTTGTGGGTGTTGAGGGAACTGTGCAAGCTGGGACAATAGAGTAGATGGTGATCGGGGAGGATTTTTTTGGTGAGATTTATTTATTTTTTATGGGTAAATTGAATGCTTTAATTTAGTTTGTTTAAATTTGGTTGTGGGATATTAGGAATTGAGGTTCAAAATTTTAATGTCCAGATCAGAAGTGTTTCTTCAATTTGGTGCTGATGCAGGTTTGGCATTTAGCAAGGCTTTTGCTATCAATTACTCCATCATTTAGGTGTGGAATAGAAATCCTCCAATTGGGTTGTTGAGACTCGTAACTTTCAAAAAGTTGAAGGGGGAAATAAATTTCTATAAATTCTTTCTAAAAAAAATTTCCGGAGATTAGATATGTTGGCTCTGAATGTGGGGAATTACACTGCAAAAATGACTCTGCTGCCGTAAATTTGATTTGGAATCAAAATTTCATACTGACAGATGGAACAAAGTCCCACTAATTGAAGTCTCTGATTAAGTTAATGTGAAAATGATGTCTATTTTATTCAAGCTATGGTTATAAGCAGTTCTGGTGATGCTTGCAGTTGCTTTTTCCTAACCTTCTAACATTTTTATGTTTTTGTCTCAAGCTTTAATAGCATAAACTCTAGTTTATAATGGATGGTTCATATCATTGTATTTGTTGCATGTCAGTTACTTCCTTTTAGCCTTTATAATTCTCCACTTCTGTAGTTTCTATATCCCCAATGCATGTTGCAAATTTGAATTTACAAGAAACTTTATGATAACCTTTTTGATATACTCAATGACAGTTATCACGAAAGCTGCTATAACCACGGTGAAATGCACTGTTTGACATCAGTTTTGTAATACGTAATTGATGATGAGATTCTAATAATTATAAACCTTTCATTCCGAGTTTGATATGAAGTGGGATTTTGAATCTTCTATTCGCTGTGTTGATGAAGAGTATGCTTGTGGAAGTTGATATCCAAAATTCAGAAATGCATGGTTCGCAAAATGTATAAGATTTAATCAAGCTGCAATACACATTGTTTTCAAATTTCAACTAACATTCTTTTTGCTGGGCAACTCTTTCATTTAATAGCTCATATGATTCTGATTGGCATATTGTCACGTAGACTTCATAAGTCTTCTATCCAGCAGATCCTGTTCTTCTCACAAAACCCTGTTTCAATGTTTAATTTTCATGTTCTATGTTTATGATCCTTGGTAGGTGAAAGATGATAGTGCTATATATATACACGTTCAAACTGGGGCATGGGATGTGTGACTGGCAGTTTCATCAGTCTAAAAGCCCATGGGTTTATGATGATTGGAAAATCAACTTGTAATTGCATGAAAGGCTTGGTTCAATCGCATGAAATATATACCCAGTTTTCTGGTTCTAATAATTCTTTATGATATTTAAATACAATGTTGATTCTAAATGGTGCTTTTTTGCTGACCCTTAATTTTGATGCTGTGAAGGAATTGGGGACTCAAAGCCAAATGTAAGTAACCTATTAGGTTCTAAAGGCTATTCTTTAGTCAATTTAAGGGCACTGCCCCAAAGGAAAAACTTATCAAAAACACCTTCTGCATTACCGGAGACAGCTGCTTCTTTGGCAATTGCAGTCACTATTGTTGGAGCAGCAGCTACTATTCTTGTTAAGAGAACAAAAGCTTCTGGGGAAACTGAGGTGTGCTCTTAATGTCACTTACAAAAAAATGATATGCCATTGCTCTTCAAAGGATTGTTGGTCTGAAGTATTATGCACTAGGCAATATGCAGCTTATTACTACAAATTGAATGTTAATTTTAGTGTTTAGTGTTTCATGTTTGTTTCCATCTTCAACTTATATCTGTTTGTAAGTTACCTAATTAGATGTTTCCGAAATGCAGGTTCCTCTGATAACTTGTGAAGACTGTGGTGGTTCCGGTATATGTTCTGAATGCAATGGTGAAGGATTTGTTCAGAAAAAACTGTCAGACGAAAGTGCTGAAAGGGCAAGAATGGCAGCAAAGAATATGGCCACTCGATATACAGCAGGGTACGTACTTCACATATTTTCCAGTGTCTGTGCCAGTATGCCCTGTTTAGTTGTAGGAAACTCTTTTGGGCTTTCATTTTCAAAATTCATGTATATTTTATACACCAGAACATGTACGGTTGTTGAAAATGAAAACAAGCACTGAAAAAAATGATGGCAAAATGTGGCTTAAGTTTAAAAATAACTTCTTTTTATTTTCAAACTCATATCGTATTTTCATTATTATTTTTCAAGTACCATTTTCGTTACATATTTCTGTGAAGATAAATGTATTTGGAAAATGAAAAGCAAAATAGTTTTCTGCAGGGTCTAATGTCAAAGCTCCTTGATATCATTCACTAAACCAGGTTGAGCATTGCAGGCTTCCGAAGAAATGGAGTTACTGTACAAAATGTTCTTCTTCGAGATCCTGTATCACATGTGGTGGTCGTGGGAAGTTAAGCTCCTAGCTTATTTGTAACCTCTGTTATGCTTTAGGTTAGATTTGGCCGCCTACCAATTAAGAAAATTGGAAGTAAGTAACAAGTTTACTTTCTTCTGTGTACTTCAGTTGATGAGTGATTTACAGATTTTCATTGTAACTCATCTCTTTTGCAATATTAGAAAATTCATTCTGAACTGAGGAATCTTGTTTATAGCTTGTTCTTAAATTCCTTCTCATTGGAAATATCACAATCTCTGAGCTATGAATTTTCTTTGTTAATGTCTTCTGCTGCTGGGTATGAAACTTAACCTTCTTTTTGATCCATATAGATACGTCTCTACATTAAGGGTCTGTTTAGTAGAGGAGAAGAGGAAGGGAGAGAATGGGAACTAATGGTTCTCAGAAGAAAAAAAAAAGTTAAGTTTTTCATAATGTTAATAATGATTTTTTTTATTAATATATATATGTTTACTGAATATTACAGTTTTATATATACAAGTTTTATAGAATAAGAAATGAAATAAAAAATTAATTATAATTAATTAGGAAGGCTGTAATTTACTTTTTAATCAGATTTACTGTACTTTTTTAATATTATGATTTATCTTTTATTTTAAATATTTTAATAAAGAAATAAGAAAGAAAAGTTGGAAAACACAGAATCTTAAGATTTCATGGTTATGATGCTCAGTTATTGACCTCCTCCAATAAATTAGATTTAACTTTTGTGAATGAAGCAATTGATTATAGAAATTAGAGATGTATAATCGGGATTAGGGTTTTCTTTTTAATTAAAGCAAGCAACTTGTCTGACATCTGTACGGTCAGAAAGCGAGTTTCGCTTTCATGTGCATTACATAGCTTATCAGAGATGAGTCAACTTCTCTCCCAAACTTAGCCAACTTTCTTGGAATCATCTTCATAACCAAGTCAAATCTTGCTCGAACTTCAATGCTCGAATCACACATATTTATATATTTATGTATATGTATCTAGACATGAGCTGGGGATGAGCTCTCCGGAGTTGGTGCTGAACCAAGTGCAACTCTCCTGCCGCGCTCTGATCTGCTGTTCTCTGCAAATTTGATGCTTCCTTCATGCAATCCCTGCTGCTTCTCCTCTTCAGTCCACTCGGATGTATAATAATTTTCTTCTTTCGATTTCTGTGGATCTCTTGATGGACCCAGGAACATGCTGCCCCACTGTGGGAAATGAATAAATGCAACAGGGAGACTGCAGATCACTGCAATGGCACCCATCAGAGACAGGCCGGTTGCTGTGTGGAATCTTGAGGAAGAGAAGAAGATGAGCTGAGTCAGACCGGATCCAAAATTCCCTCCAGCACCGGTTAGGCCTGAGATTATACCTAAAGATCGCCGGGAAACAAAGGGGACAATCCCAAAAGTTGCACCGCAAGCTGCTTGTGTCCCGATTGAGAAGAGGATCATGGCCAAGATGGCAATAGGTAGAGATGTGGCACGGCCGAGCCAGACACAGAATAGGCCTCCGAGGGTTTGGAAGATGAAAAGAATCCATAAGCGGCCTCTCATGCCAAACAATCTTGCTGCTGTATCAGAAGCGTAGCCACCAAAAGGACGAGCAAAGAAATTAGCCATGCCGAAGCTTGCTGCTATAGTTCCAGCAGTATGAAGCTTCAGGTTAAATCTGTTTGTAGTGCATGCATATATATACATATGTACATACACAGAAGAAAATGGGTCATGGTTAGTTTTTGTCACAAGAAATGGCTAAGCAGATTGGAGATTTAACTATAAAGTAAACCTGTCATAGAAATATTCCGAAATGACATTGTTGATGGTCAGCTCAACTCCCATGGAGAATCCATAAAGAATGAATAACACCCATGTTCTGTAGTTCTTGACACCAAACCATAACACCTGAACAAGATAATCCACCTCTATATGTTACATGAACAAGAATAAATGAAGCTTAAACAGAAATTCGGGCCAAGACCCATCGGCGAATTGATATATTAGAACAAATATATCAGAATCTAACAAATATGAAATATGGTTTTGAAGAGAAGTTACCTTGGAGAACTTATCTTTTGCAACATCACCTTTCTTTTGTAGGGTGCTGAGGTTACCATCAGGCAAGTCTTGGCCAAGAGTTAGGACCAAGAGTCCCATAATGATCTGAAGCGAACCAGGAACAAAGAAAGCAATTCTCCAGGCGGTGAATGGCGTAGCGCCAGCAAGTTTAATTATATGATAAACCAATGGCATCAACAGCTGAGTGACTCCACCACCCATGTCTCCCCACCCACCTGCACATCCATTCACCAGCCCAATTATCTTCCCGTTAAACATCACCGTCGTCCAGTACTGGCAAGACACAAACGTCGCCAGACAGAATCCAATCATGAATCGGACGGCTAAATATCCCTGAGCATCGGACACGAAGGACATGCAGAAAACAGTCGGAGAAGATAGGAGGAGAAGGAATGCAGTTCCGTAACGTGGACCAATGAGGTCGCAGACTGCGCCCATGATGAGGCGTGATAATATGGCGCCGGAGACGGAAGCTACGCCGGCATTTCCGATGTCGGATTTGGTTAATTTGAGGTTGTCGCGGATGATGGGGACGATAGGGGTCGCGGCCAAGTGGAGACAAGCAAGGTGAAGAAGAGATCCAGGATAAGTGGAAAGTGTCATGTGGGTTTGTGGAAGGAAAATGGCTTGAAGATTTGGCTCTGTCTCTGAATCAACCGGGAGAGAAAATTTGACGTGGGAGTATCGGGATTTGCAGGAGGTGGAGATGGTGAGGATGGGGATGAAGATGAAAATGCAAAAATTTGTTGTTTGCCTGTTACTCCATGGCGCATGGAGCTTCCCACAGAACCTTCACTACTCTGGTATGCCATATATGTGTATATATGTATGTATAAGAGGCGAACAAGAGAGAGTGATATACAGTAAGAGAGACTTACAGTGTTGTGTGAATTAGAGATGGGGTTTGCATGGTACTTATAGTTGAGTTGCCATGAAACCTGCACATGGCTTGGGATTGGTAGACTTGAAAAAATTATTTAAAAATTCTGGGTGATAAATAAAAATATATATATTTAATTTATTTATAAGATAAATTAATATATTAGTATTTGATATTTATTACATATTCGCCTTTAATTTAATTTTTATTTATTTATTTATTTATTTTTAACAAATTAATAATAATATTAGACGTATTTTTATATTTATTTATTTATTTAAATTCTTTCTTTTAAATTATTCTTTAAAATATTTAAATATAATTTAATTATTTTAATTTTTAATTAAAAAAACTATATTCTTAAATTTTTAATAGAATAAAATTGAATTAAATTAAAATTATAATATCAAATTAAAATTTAATCAATTTAAATTAAATCGGACTGAATATATTCAAACTGATTTTTTCTTAAATATATTTTTTGATATTTTATGGAAAATCTATCATATATATATATATATATGAGTCTTTTGTGTACGTAATATATATATATATATATATATATGTATATCGAGTTTTTACCACCTTCTTTTTTCTTTTGGCTCCACTAAACATGCAACATATTGTAAATGTGAAGACACTAAAGCTTGCTGGTGCATTCACCGAAAATATAATATATAAGATGTACATACACTATTTTTCTGAACGTAATCAAATACAAAAGCATGAATCAGAACTAACACTTTTATATATATATACATACATCTAAGAGATAATAATATATTAAAGAAAGCGATAGATGTTACCTAATTCAATACATATCAACCGTACATATATTATATATCTCCCGTACAGATCACATAAGCAAACAAATTGTATTGGTCAACTTATTAATTTCAAAATAAACAATGAAAAATTATAATTAATTTTATTAACATAATATTAAATTTAGTTACCGTTTTAATAATTAATTTATAATATATTTATAAAATATATATAATATTTATTTGATTAAGAGATAATAAATTTATTTTTATTTTTATTTTTATATGTTACGTACATACATATATATATATATATATAAAGAAAAATATTATTATTATTATTAAATATGGTAATTAATTTTATTTGTAATTAATTTCACTTGATAATTATCACATGGGCAGAGTTGATTTTTTTTTTTTTTTTTTTTTTACTATTTTAAAATTTTCATTTTATCTTTTCACATGGCATGTTGCATGTTCCCACGTCATTCTGAGTATATAATATAGTACGTAATTAGTTTATTATTTCAATTTATTTTCTTTAAAAAATTTACACATTATATATATATATATATATATATTATACGTATATAAAACTATTTGGGCTTAATAATAATTGGCGAGATGTT